ATTTGTTAGCTGGCAGCTTACTTTGAGTGTTTGCGGTGATGCTCAAATCAGAGCCCGCCACACAGTCGGGAGCTCTGGGAGTAGAATCTTAGGGCTGGGTTTGCCCAGCAGTTATAGGGATCTCAGATGTCCTGTGAAAGAAAGTCAAAGAACCTCTTGAGGAGTACAAACCAAGTACTCCAGGTTTGTAACAAGGAATTCAACACCTCATGGTGCAAGTGTAGACCCCTGCCCAGAGCTTAGTGCATGGAGAATGCTCACGCTGCCCACGCTCTGGGTGCACATGCATTCTGTGCTGTGCTTCACCCACGCACTTCTGGTTGCAGGTCCTCTACATTACCTCAGGTGTTCCCTGTGCTGGGCTTCTGCTGTGGACCAGGGTGAGATTCCACCCTTCCCCTGCCTCCTTCTCCTCCCACCTGCCCTTTCTTTCTCTAGAAATATTGACCTGATTTCTTGTTGAGAAATAATCCAATTTGATTGCCAAATAACAGAGCACCAGGACAGATGGAGGGCGTTGTGGCTCTTCTTTTAAACCATGATTTGTGGATGTTCTGGGAGGTGTATGTGTCCCGAATATTGAAAATGACTTCTAATAATGGGCTCTATGCTCAATATCATACTTTGATATTGATTTCTCCTGTCTTCCCCTTCATAACCACCTTTATCTTCAGCACCATTTTGGGAAATAAAATAAACCATTTTGAGGAGCGCTAAAATATCATGGGGCTTAGGGACCTCACCTCCTCTTCCTCATGCATAAGTGGCCCCTGCCTCATGTTTCTGCAGTCTGGCTAAGAAATCTGCTTACAAAAAACTGGTGACTGACCAGTTCACACCCCAAAAGAGGTCAAGGGCTGGCAGTCCCACAGCCTCTCTGACTGTCATGCAGGTGCCTCCTCCTGAGTCTGGTTCTTGCTGGATTCTGCCTCCTCCCACTGACTTAGCTGCTCAGTCCATGATCCATTTGCAGCTTTGGATCAGTTGTGACATGAAAGACCTCCAGGGGTTGTAATAATGGTAGACTGGCTGGGACATGTGTGACAGCTCAGTGTTCCCTCACATCTCAGACCTGCATGGTGCACTCTGGAGTTATCTAACCTTCAGCCACCCTCAGGTGCCTTAGCTGTGTATTACCTTTGTGTCAACCAGGCATGCTAGAATTCACCAGAATGTTTAAATTGAATCATAATGTATATTTGAAATGTGAATCACCCTTTCAGTGTGTTAATTACCCAATGGATGTCCATCCTAGGCAAAATTTGCTGCAAATCACATTCTGACATAGAGGTAAATGAGCAGGCCCTGTATGCCCTGTATCCAGACTGGTGATATATCAATCCTGCTTCACTCAGTACTTGCTGCCTGGCTAATCTGGTGAGTATCCTATTCTAACTTTGCTTGAGTTTGATTTTTTTGGGGGGGAGGTACTGGGCATTGTATTCAGGGGTGCTCTACCACTGAGCTACATGCTTAACCCTTTGTATTTTTGTAATATTTTTAGAAGATGCAAATGATACCTTTATTTTATTCATTTATTTTTATGTGATGCTGAGGATTGGGCCCAGTGCCTTGCATGTGCTACACAAGCACTCTACCACTGAGGTACAACTCCAGCCCCCTTTGTATTTTTTTTTAATTTTGAGTTAGGGTCTTGCTAAATTGCTGAGGGTAGCCTCAAACTTGATCATCCTGCTTTAGCCTCCCAAGTAGCTGGAATTACAAGGGTGTACCACTGTGCCTGGTTCTGAATTTAATAATCTTTAAAATGGAGAAAACATTCATTCCTCATTCATGGATGTGCTGTGAGTATCAATTGAGGTGATTACAAACGACCATGTCATGCAGCCTTGCATTTCCTACTTTAGTCATTTGCATTTTCCTTAATTTTATCTATTTATTTTTAACTTATAAGTGCTCAAGAGAGGAGAGAGAGAGATTGTGATCTTCTGGCAGTGTGTGATAAAGAAAAGATTTTATTTTCTTTCTTATTTATTTATTTATTTTTTGGTACCAAGGATTGAACCCTGGTGTGCTTATCTACTCTGCCACATCCCTAGTCCTTTTTATTGTTTATTTAGAGAAAGGGCCTTGCTAAGTTGCTGAGACTGGCTTTGAACTTGTGACCCTTCTGCCTTAGCCTCCAGACGGGCTAGGATTACAGGCATGCATCACTGGGTCCAGCAAGATATTTCTTGTGGAAACACTGCATGGACCTGTCTGTGTTTTGATCAGGAAGCCTCTGTTGGCTGCTGTGTGTGCTGGCCCTATGCAGCAAGTGTGCCAGGAGAGTGTGTGTCTCCTCAGAAGATGGACTTTCTCTCTTGACCTAATACACTGTATTCCTAGAACACAGAAAATTATACCAGTTACCAAGAATGCAGTGCCTTCTCTGGCCCAACCCAAGCAGCAGCATTATAAAAGTTGAAGCAGGGGCTGGGGCTGTAGCTCAGTGTCAGAGCACTTGCCTAGCATGTGTAAGTCACTGGATTTGATCCTGCACAGCACATAAAAAATAAATAAATAAAGGCATGCTGTCCTTCTACAACTATTAAAAAAAATTGAAAACAAAAAGTTGAAGCAGGAGCACGGCAAGGGCTCATTCATGTTTTTACTGTTGGGTCACTGGCTGCTAGTGGAGAATGGTGCCAGGATGAAAAGGGGGAAGCATGGGGACAGGAGGCTGATGCAATATTCCAGGCTTAAGGTGGTGGTGGTGAGTTCTGAGGTGTTTCAGGAAACGGGAGAGGTGTGCGATATTGTTCTGAGGTGGAGTCAGCAGGGTTTGCTGACAGGTTGGATATGTGGAGTTGAAGGAGATGACAGTGTACAATCATATCTCCTTGACCCTCATAAATACCTGTGAGGTGGACACTGTAGATATACCTGTTCTATAGATGAGGAAGTTGAGGGTCAGACCAATTCATCCCATGTCCAGGACATGCGGGGATACAGGCTTTAGACCTGTGCTCCTCCCTGCCACTCCCACAACTGGTGATCCTTTCTAGCTCCTCACAACACGCACCTCTTCCTATGCTTTTTTCTCTTATCAGTGTTCTTTTTTTTCTCCTTCTTCTCTCTTCCTTGCCTAGGGATAGAACCCAAGGGTCTCATTTGTCCCATTTGGTGGCGTTCAATTATTTGGACAAGTGGCTGAACCCTGATGTCCTGATATCCTGTATGCTACAATGTGCAGAGGCCTGCCCATGCTCAGAATCACCCTGAAGACCAGAACTACCTCTATTGTTTGTCTACAGACTCAAAATTTTGCCTCTTTCTATATGCTGACAAAAAGTTTTTAAAAATCAAGTAACCAGTTTTTACAGACAGAATTTTTAGAACGTGAGTGTGACACCACTTGGACAAAATAAGGAACGTATTCATTGTCTACCTTCAGAAACATCCTCCATATCCTTTCTCATGACAGACTCTCTTGGTTATTAGATTTGTTGCAGTAGAGATGTTAGACAGTTATGAAGCCCTGTGGTGCAGAAGGTACCCTAAGTCTGGTAAGATTCATATCAATAGATATGCCAGGTCCTCATTGGTGATTTCTGGCAGATATGTGCTTACTGGGACTCTACTTGTACCAGCCCCCAGAATTTTTTTTCAGTAGGGCCATTCCTGTGCTTGAATCCTGCTTGCTTGTCCTAGTAGCACTATTTTCCATAAGTATAGGGCTCTCTTCCCTAGCCAAAGATATTCAAACTCAAGACTAGCATGTTTAAATAGCATTTATTCTCATCCAAAGTTTCTCTAATTTTTTAAATGCCTCCATCATCATACTTAACTAAAGATAAATCTTTTTAAAAAAATGTTTTTTTAGTTGTAGTTGGTACAATATCTTTATTTATTTATTTTTATGTGGTGCTGAGGATCAAACCCAGTACCTCACATATGCAAGGCAAATGCTCTACCACTGAGCTACAGTCCCAGCCTCAAGATAAATCTTTTTAAAGGTCAGAAAGCATCAGCTAGTCAGCAAATAGCTGTCTTGAAAAAGTCCATTTTTTCTGTGGTTTGGAGTTCACATATGCAGGATGAGGTATTAACACAGGAATATTTTTATGAATCATGGGGATTGGCCTGCAGTTCCATGTTTCTATCACTTTGTGTTCCAAATAAGCTTCTCAAGCTTATAAGAGTTTTCTATATTGACATCTCCTCCCCACACCCTACAAACTCACTACAAACCTTTTGTCTGCATTGATTGTAGTTGGGCAATATCCTCCTCATATTTATTTCTTTAACAGACTCTTTTACCTTCACTACAACAGAGGGAAAGATCCTATGCACTGTAAGCATCCTTGGATGTGATCAGCCCTGAGCAAGTTACACTTGGGTCTCCAATGTAAACTGAGCATCAAGAATGTGGTGTATTTGTACTTCCTAAAGGACTCAAGAGGTTTTTCTTTTAAGGGTGTGTCTTGCCACATGATCCCACAGGGGTGCTTATAGGAGCTTGGCTTTGCTTTCAGGGTCCTTGTAAGAACTCTGTATGCAACCTCCTAGTGGGTCAGGTCAGTTTAATTCCTAGCCTTAGGCAGGTTGTGAATTATGGAGAGCAAGGCTAAAATTCTCTAGATGTTCACACAAGGGGTCCTGTGGTCAGTGTGAAATCTCCCCTCCTCCCCTCTAGCTCTGAGTCATCTTGGAATCCAGCGTAGTCCCTTCTGCAGGGTTACAGCTCAGATCCAGGTGGCTTATTCAGCTAAGTGGCAAACTTGTCCCCCATTCCTTGCACATCCCCTGTTGGCCCATTTCCTCCCCACACAATATTTTTGGCTCTGCCCCATCATTTACATATCTAAGCAGAGAGCCAATAGTAATCCTGGAAAGGGTAGCGTGTGTGCGTCAACCGTTAAACATAGGAACGCCTCAGAACCCCTGTAGCCCGTAAGAAGCTCATAAGCTGGGCTAGCTCCGCCCTGTGGCCTCAAATTTGTTGCCACACCTCACCACATTTGTAGAGGCCACAGAGCCTCTGGTGCTTTCCAGCCATGGCTAGCTGGTATCACTACTATGATACTGACTACTATGTTCTGGAAGAATATGAGAGGGAAATAAACCCTGAATCTGAGCAAAGTGCAGCAGCGGCAGCAGAAGGTGGCCACAGTGAAGGAGCTGTAGGCCTCATGGACAACGTGAAGCCTGAGGGCCACCTGAATCAACTGGATGTCATGAACCAAGAGGGTGAAGTGAACCAGGAAGGAGATGTGAACCAGGAAAACAACAGTGACCATGAAGATGATGACGATGACCAGGATCCCCAGCAGGAGGACCTTGAGGAGTCAGTGGCTCCTCCGTCCCGTCGCAGGGGGCGGCCACGAATCCCGTTTCAGTTCACGCCATGGCAGTTGGATGAACTGGAAAGTGTTTTTGAGGAAACTCAGTACCCTGATCTGCTCACAAGGTAATTGACTGGCTCCGGGAGGAACCTAGTCTTCCAAAGAGTACTTTTCCAGGGGGATTTTCCTCTCTTCTGTGCCCTTCAGGTCCCTGTCCTCAGTAACCCCCCCCCCCGCCCCCTCCCCCTCTCCCCCCCGCCCCTCCCCCTCTCTCCCCCCCCCCGCCTCTCCCCCCTCCCCCTCCCCCTCTCCCCCCGCCTCTCCCCCCGCCTCTCCCCCCTCTCCCCCCATCCCCCCCACCTCTCCCCCATCTCCCCCACTCCCCCCTCTCCCCCTCTCTCCCTCTCCCCCCGCCCCCCCCCCCCCCCGCCTCTGCCCCCTCCCCCCTCCCCCTGCCTCTCCCCCCTCTCCCTCCCCTGCCTCACCCCCCTCTCCCCATCTCTCTTCCCCCTCTCCCTCCACCTTCCCCCCTTCCCCCGTCTCCCCCCTCCCCCGTCTCCCCCCCTCCCCCTCCTCTCCCGCCCCCCCTCTCCATGAGATCCTGTGACAGGTGGGGGTATGCCATGTGATTTTCATGTAGTATTGGTATGAATTAACTCTCAAAACTGTTTGGTGCCACTTGTTTATTTTTTTTGTTTTGTTTTGTTTTTAAATTGTAGTAAAATACACAGAAACATGAAATTTACTATCTAAATCAGTTGCTTTTCTTTTTTTTTTTTTTTTGGTACTGGGGATTGAACCCGGGAGTGCTTTACTACTGAATCATATCCCCAGACCTTTTTATTTTTTCTTTTGAGACCGGGTTTCACTTAGTTGCTTAGGGCCTCCCTTAGTTGCTGAGACTGGCCTCGAACTTGTAGTCCTCCTACCTCACCCTCCCAAGTGGCGGTGGGGGTGTTACAGTCATGTGCTACTGTGCCTGGCTCTAAATCACTTTTGAAGTAGAACTTAGCAGTGTTAAATATTTGCATGTTGCCGTGGGACAGATCTTCAGAACTCTCTTCACGAGGCCAAAATGAAACTATACCCATTGAATGATACCCCATTCCCCTCCCCAAAGCCCTGAAAACCAAATTTCATTCTATGAATTTGACAATTCTAGGTACCTCAAATAAGGGAAATCATATGGTATTTATCTATTTCTGATTGGCTTATTTCACTTTGCATAATCTCCTCAAGGTTATCCATGATGTAGCATGTGTCAGCATTTTTTTTCTTTTTTAAGGCAGAGTAATATTCTGTTGTGTGAACATAACTATTTTGTTCATCATTTGTGGAGGGACATGTGGCTCTCATGAATAATGCTGCTATGAACATGGGGTATACAAATATCTCTTCATATCCAGGTTTTCAATATTGTGAGTATATACCCAGAAATAGAATTGCTGGATCATATGGTATAATATTTTGAGGAACCTTCGTACTCTTTTGTAGTAACTGCATTATTTGATATTTCTACCAGAGTGCACTAGGGTTCCAATTTCTCCATGGGCTTATTTTCTGGGTTTTAATAGTAGGTATCCTAATAGGTATGATATAATGTCACTATTGTTTTTTTTATTTAAAAAAAGTTTTTTTAGTTATAGATGGACAGCATGCCTTTATTTTATTTACTTATTTTTATGTGGTGCAGAGGATCGAACCCAGTGCCTCACATGTGCTAGGCAAGAGCTCTGCCACTGAGCTACAGCTCCAGCCCTCACTGTGTTTTTGATTTGCATTTCAAGAGTGATTAGTAATGTTGAGTATTTTTCCATGTACTTTGTGATCATATGTATATATTCTTTGGAGAAATGTCTCTTTATCTCCATTGCCTGTTTTTAAAACCCAGGTGGAAATTTCGATCCCCAGCTTATCAGGGCTGCTCTGTAACCTACTGCAATACCAATTTGCAAATGTTTTCTCCCATTCTGTGAATTTGTTCTTACTTCTTGATTATGTCCTTTGATATATAAAAGGTTTTCATTTTGCGAGAGTCCAACTTATCTATTTTTCTTTCATTACGTGTGCTGTTGGCCTGATTATGTAATAAAATTTTTTATTGAATTCAGGGTTAGGAGCATGAAGTCCTCTCATGTAACTGTAGTGCTATAACTTTCCTGTGTTTAGTATTTGTTCAATTTATCATGGGTTTTTCCACTAATTTTTACATTTTATGTTTTTATTAGTACATTATAGTTTTACACAATTGTGGGGTTCATTTTGACATATTCATAAATCCACATAGCATAATTTGCTCCATTTTAGCCCCAGCACTACCCTCTCCCTCCCCTCCTTCCTCCCTGATTCCCTTCCTCTAATCTATTGGTCTTCCTTCTATTAATTTTTATTTATTTATATATTTATTTTTAAAATTTTTAATTTTTAAAAAATTATTTTTGTAGTTGTACATGGACAGAATGCCTTTATTTTATTTATTTATTTTTATGTGGTGCTGAGGATCGAACTCAGTGCCTCATGCATGCTAGTCAAGTGCTCTGCCACTGAGCTACAGCCCCAGCCCTATTAATTTATTTTTAAAAATTGGATCATTATAGTTAAAAGAGGAATTCATTGTAATATATTCATATGCATATATAACATAGTTTGGTCAATTTCATTATTCAGTTTCTCCCCTTCCCATCCCTCCTTCATCCTCCTTCCCCCCTCAATTCCCTTCCTCTACTCCATAGTTCTCCCACCTATTTTCATGAGAATCCTCCCTTTTTTAAAAAAGTCCATATTTTCTGTCTAGCTTCCACCTCTAAGAGAAAACATTCAACACTTGACATTCTGAGTCTAGCTTATTTCTAATTTTTATTTTTAAAAATAGTACATTAGGGGCTGGGATTGTGGCTCAGTGGTAGAGCGCTCGCCCAGCATGGGCACGGGTTCGATCCTCAGCACCACATAAAAATAAAGGCGTTATGTTGTGTCAGTCTACACCTAAAAAATACATTAAAAAATAGTACATTAATATTATTTGTCTTGACATTGCATTGCTAACACTACCTTCAAGTTTGTGGTGAGATCAAACCATTTCTAAAGAGAGACTGGATCTGAGTATCATATAAAAATATATTTAGGGGGGATTTCAAGGAGAGATTGTATATTTGAGAACTAGCACTGAACCTGTATACTATATTTCATTTCATCCATAATACTGAATACTGAATATCTGTGTTTTTTCTCCACAGAAGAGAGCTTGGAAGACAAATGAATGTTCCAGAAGCCAAAGTGCAGGTCAGTAAATCTGAAGAAACAATTTGGCAGGGCAGTAATTCTACCTGCTTTATGACATGGATATTTTTATCCTAGACATTTGCAAAATGGTTTGTTTTTGTTGTATTTGTTAATTGGGCAAACAAATTTTGAAATTTAGTCTTTGTGGGTGAAAAATGGAATAAGTAAATTCAAGTTTGTGGTTCTTTTTCATTATTAGAGGGTATGTGTTTTCCTATAAAAGAAAACAAAACAAAGGAACAAGCTGCTTTTCCTATTTTGTGTACAGAATCAAAGATATAATTATATACACATATGATACATGAATGTATTCGATGTAGTTCAAGTTTTTGACACTAATATACTTTATGGAGCATTTTTTTAAAGATTTTGAATTTCAACTTTATTACTGTTTGTATTTGTGTCATTTACAGAAGTCACTTAGCCTCTTTTTTTTTTTTTTTTGTGGTGCTGGGGATTGAACCCAGGGCCTTGTGCATGTGAGGCAAGTACTCTACCAACTGAGCTATATCCTCAGATATATATATATATATATATATATATATATATATATATATTTTTTTTTTTTTTTTTTTTTTTTTTTTTGGTACTGGTGATTGAACTCTGGGGCACTTAACCACTGAGTCACATTCCCAGCCCTTTTTTGATTTTATTTACAGACAGGGTCTCACTGAGTTGCTTAGCATCTCACTGAGTTGCTTAGTGCCTTGCTAAGTTGCTGAGGCTGGCTTTGAACTTGAGATCCTCCTGCCTCAGCCTTCTGAGCCCCTAGAATTACAGGCGTGCGCCATCACACCCGCATTCAATACCTAAAGAAATCATTAACCTCTTTATGGAGCATTTTTATGTGGAGTCAGGTTGCAGCATAACCTTACCTTGGAAGCATTCAGATTGATGGAGGAAGGACCAAGGTTATAAGAGGGTTCAGTTGTACTAAATTATTTAAAACTAAGTAAGCATAAGCACTTCATTTTTTAAAAAAAATTTTTTGTAGTTGTAGATGGACAGAATGCCTTTATTTTATTTGTTTATTTTTATATGGTGCTGAGGATCAAACCCACTGCCTCACACATGCCAGGCAAGCACTCTACCACTGAGCTACAGTCCCAGCCCAGCGTAAGCACTTTAAATAAATGGATTTATAAATACTGGGATGAGACAGTAATTCATCCAAAGAACACATTCTATGAATAAGTAATGTATGTATCAATTGAGCTGAGACTGATGTGGGAAGATACCTGAAAAGCCCAAGTGTCTGATCCTCCTCCTTTTAGTTTGTAAATTTTTGGTAAGATGAAATGGAAAATGGCAATTTTCAATTTGAATTGCCCACATGTTATGACATGTCTACTTCAAATTATTGCCAAAGAAGTCACATTATGATTGTGATAGGACAAAAGGTTTCAAGATTTGAAAATGTATCTAAAGAGTGAAATGAACAAAAAATATTGAATTAATTTTATTTAACCTAAGAAGGATGAGAAGGGTATAGACAAAGTTACAAAAGGCAAAATACACCTTGCAGGTGCAATGTTAAATGCATAGGTGAATCTTCTCTTGAATATTTGCTAACTTGGAAAAATACATTTTTTTTCCTTTTTGGTGGTAGTATTTTGAAGAGGCAGGTTTTGTGGAATTTGTTTCCCTAAACAGAGCCCTCATTTCAGGGTAAATTTGTACCTGTCTTGGATTGAATACTTTTCATTCCTTCAGTCAGTGGTAACTAATATGTAGGCAGGTCATGGAATCAGACAGTGATTACATAAGAACAATAACCAAAGTGATAAATTCAAAACAACAACAAAAAATGAAAGAAACATCAGGATGACCTTACTATTATTATTAGCTTTGTTGCAGCATGCATGTATGAATGCAGTGATGGAAAAAGGCTGTGGACATGATGGTGGGTGCCCAGAAAAGTAGCTTCACAAAGCAAGCCACTGAGCACTGGTGTAATAATGCCACATGCCAGGCTGCACAGTCAAGCCTGGCTCAGGTGGGAGAATTTGGGAAGCGGTTGTGAGCATTTCTTAGGGTGGTAAGGCAAAGTCAGAAGAAAAGAAAATCTGAAGGTATGATGAGTTGCTTTTGCCCTCCCTGGATCACATGTCTCTCTGTGGAGTTCTAAAGGGAACTTGAGCTACAGGAGACAAAGGAGGGAGAAACCCAGATGTTCTCAACTACTTCATACTCTGCAGGGAGAATTTCTCAAGATACTTAACATGTGATTTCCCCTTCTCTTTTGCAAATATAGTAAAAGTGTTTTAGGAAACCAGTCTTGGGAATACCGACTTGATAATAGCCCACACCATCAGTCCATTGTAAGCTTTCTTTTTTTTTTAAACTTTTACATTTTTTTATACTTTGTTTTTATGTGGTGCTGAGGATTGAACCCAGTGCCTCATGTGTGCTAGGCAAGCTCTCTACCACTGAACCACAACCCCAGCCACTTTCTTTACGTTTATGTAGACTTGACCAATGGTACCTTTGTACCCTACCTCAATGTGAGCTCCTTTACAGTGACTTTCTTTAGATTATATGTTCATGTGTCACCATTTGCAATTTGGGAACTTCCCAAATAATTAAATACAATGGAAATCTCATTTGGTAAGAGGATAGTGATATACAACAGGTTGTTTTTTTTTTTTTTTGGTACTGGGGATTGAACCCAGGAGCACTTAACCACTGAGCCATATCCTCAACCCTTTTTATATTTTATTTAGAGACAACGCCTCACTAAGTTTCTGAGGCTAGCTTTGAACTTGAGATCCTCCTGCCCCAGCCCCCCCCCCCTCCAAGCCACTAGGATTACAGATGTGCACAGCCATGCTTGGCTGACAGGTTTTTAAAAATCTATTTGCATTTTAATAATTGGCAGGAAATTTACAGAAGAGCCCATTTTGTGACTCCCACTCATCCCTCATTTTGGTCAGGATGCAGACTGTACTTTATCTGGTTACCAGACGGGTTATCATGAGTGACCAGGAGCAACTCACAAACTAGACCTGCATTCAATACCTAAAGAAATCGTTAAAGAATATTAAAATTGGAAGGAGGGAAACAAAAGTATTCACTCTTTTCCAGAGGGTACAGACCTGGTGCTCACTAAGGATGAGCTAAAGAAGGTCAGTTGTGTTCTTACATTTCCTAATATTTTGGTTTTTTGTTTGTTTGTTTGTTTTTGTTTTTGTTTATGGTGCTGGGGATGGAACCCAGTGCTCATGGATTCTACACAAGTATTCCACCACTGAACTATAGCTCAGGCTCCCTAAGGTATTTGAGTAATGAAAAATAATTTCTGACTGGTATAGTGGTGCATGCCTGTAATGCCAGCAATATGGGAAGCTGAGGCAAGAGATCATGAGTTCAAGGTCAGCCTCAGCAATTTAGCAAGACCCTGTCTCAAAAAGAGGGCTGGAGATGTAGCTCAGCGGTAAAGCCCCCCCTGGATGCAATCCCAGTACCAAAAATAAATAACAACAACAAAAAAGTTTCTGCTGTGCAATCCAAAATCTGAGTAGCCTATAAAGCTGCATGATGTGTTTTTTCCATTATGGCATTAACTGTTCAAAATACTAAACCGATCCCTTTTCCCCTCTGATTACAGACATGGTTTAACAATAGGAGAGCCAAATATAGGAAAAGTCAGAGGGAATCAATGCTCAGATGTATTCCACCTGGTGTCCCAGACTACATTTTCATGACAGATGTGGAGGAACCCTAGACTTCCATCTTTCTTCAGGAGTCAGAATGGAGATGTGTTTATCTGTTGGCACTGAAATATGGGTGATCCATGACACCCCTGTTGCCCTTATCTTTTCAGCACTTACATTAGCAATAAAGAGTTGAATTTTTCAGCATTATTTGTTTTCATGTGCCTACTCGGGTATGTAGGGTATCAAAGCAAACTGTTCAGGATATGCTATTTAAACAAAACAATCTGGAGCTATGCTTTCATGAGGTGATATCCCTGAGTCACCATCAGTAGGCCCTGCACATCATAGTCTCCCAAGTGCTGTGGTAGGTTCACACTGACCCATAAATTCTTCTCTGTCCTCTCATCCATCATGCCTTGCTTACTCCCATTCTTGTCCAGTGTGTCTAAGAAGGGGTAGAACAAGTCTCTAGTGAGAGGACAGTGTGTTTCCACACAGGGTTGAGTTCCAGCCATGCTGACAAGTTCACTCCAATTCCAGGATACTGAGACTAAAACTTCCTAAGATGAAACTCACAGCATTTATGAAAAAGTAGCTAGTGAACATTCATTTCTTCAGTAAACAAGCACACCATGTTTGGCCTCACTTTTATATGAGCTTCTCTGTTCAAACTGCAAATTTTCTAATTCTTTTCTCTCTTTCTGTTCCTAATTCTCCAAACTCTGTTTATTGCCCTCCATTTATGTGGTGCATTTAGGAGCTGTTCTGCTCCAGAAGTCCTGTAGCTTCCAAAGAGCATAGGAATAAATCTTGTTAAGGCCAGATTGAGGTTCCTGTCCCTTATTCTCCTCCATCTCCAGCCCAGGAGATTTGTCGCACCTTCTTCATCTCAGAAGCTGACTAATACTGCCTCACAGTATTAGTCATCTTTACATACTTAGGAGAATCTCACTGCCAGTTCACTACTAAAAGGAAAGGAACCTTTTGGTTCAGAGGTGCTCAGAGCAAGAGTTAGAAGATGGTCCCTAAGGAAGATTCCAGAATAATTACTCACTGAAAAGAAGCCTTAGCTCTGCTTTCTTCCTGCTCTGTGCTTTGTGTAAAACAGACAGGATAGAAAAAAAAATCATGTTGTGGGGATACAGAGACAAGGCCTAGTCTTTGAAAGCATTAAGTTCTTCTCATGTGAAACTCAACGTGAGTAATTTTGAGTTATGGGAGTTTCAATGGATGTGTATGTGAAAAGTGAATAACTGGATGGCATAGTCCTACTATTAGGTGATAGCAGTGACTTCAGTTCAAGTACCAAAGTGATCTGAGAATTCCCTCTAGTATGGGTTAGTCAAAGACCATTTCATAGCAGGGATTTCCTTGGCAAGCATGCCATGGCCTCAGCTAGTTTTTTTTTCTTTCTTTCTTTCTTTCTTTCTTTCTTTCTTTCTTTCTTTCTTTCTTTCTTTCTTTCTTTCTTTCTTTCTTTCTTTCTTTCTTTCTTTCCTCCCTCTTTCTTTCTTTCCTCCCTCTTTCTTTCTTTCCTCCCTCTTTCTCCCTCCTCCTCCTCCTCTTCTTCCTCTTTCCATTTCCTCCTCCTCTCTCCATCTCCTCTCTCCATCTCCTCTCTCCATCTCCTCCTCCTCCTCTCTCCATTTCCTCTCTCCATCTCCATCTCCATTATAGTTGTACATAATGTTGGGACCTAGCTGAATACAATAGAACAATATAATTTGGCCAATATAATTCCCAGTATTTCTCCTTTCCCTTTCCTACTCCCTCCCAGTCCCTTTCTTCTACTCTACTGATCTCCCTTTGATTTTTATGAGATCCCTCACCTTTCTGTACCTTTTTCTTCTCTACCTTCCACGTATGAAAGAAAACACAATCCTTGACCTCCCGAGTTTGGTTTATTTCACTTAACATAATGTTCTCAAGTTCTATCCATTTTTCTGCAAGTGACATAATTTCATTTTTCTTTATGACTGAATAAAACTCCATTGTGTGTGTGTGTGTGTCTAATCACATATTCTTTATCCATTCTTCCATTAATAGATACCTAGGCTGGTTCCATAACTTGACTATTGTGAATTGTAGTGCTATAAACATGGGTAAATATGTATTGCTACAGTATGATGACTTTAATCCTTTGGGAAGAATGCTGAGGAGTGATATAGCAGGGTCATGTGGTAGTTCCATGCCTAGTCTTTTGAGGATCCTCCACACTGATATCCATAGTAGTTGTACTAATTTACAATCCCAACAACAGCTTAAAGGTGTTCCTTTTTCTCTACATTCTCTCTCCAGCATTTATTATGAATTTATTATTGTTTGTATTCCTTTTTCTTTTTCTTTTCTCTCTTTTTTTTTTTGTACCAGGGATTGAACCCAAGGATGCTTACAACTGAGCCACATCACCAGCCCTTTTGTATTTCTTATTTTGAGACAGGGTCTCACTAGGTTGCTTATAGCCTCACTAAATTGCTGAGACTGGCTTCGAACCTGCGATCTTCCTGCCTCAGCCTCTGGAGCTGCTGGAATTACACCATGCCTGGCTATTTTTATTCTTGATGACTGCCATTCTAAGTGGAGTGAGATGAAATCTCAAGTTTAGTTTTGATTTGTATTTCCCAAATTGCTAATGATATTGAATGTTTTTCCATATATTTGTTAACCATTTATATTTCTTTTGAGAAGTGTCTGTTTAGTTCATTTGCCCATTTATTAGTTGGATGTGTCTGCTAATTTTCATTTCTGTCTTCTTCATTCACACCCTTGCTTGTGTCAGCAGAGTGGTTATGTGTAATGTGGCACCTTCACAAAAAGAAGACTGAGTTTGCTACCTGGAGGCTCCTTGCCCTGTCGGAAGTGCAGAAAATCCAAGAAAACACCTGTGTATGCCCCTGCCTCGCAGGATGATTTTGAAAACTTGTATTTCTATTGCGCAGTGTGGACCTCTTTTCTTCTTTTTAATACTGTGGTTTTCAATACTTTAAGCAACCTCAATACTAATTACAAGGCCTGTACAAATAAGTTTAGGACATTGTCAAGCCCAACCTTGATGCCCTATCTGTTGTGGCCCAATATGAAAATGAGAGCCCAAGAGCACTCAGCACAAATCCATTAATCCTCAACATCCATTCTGACTCACAGCAGCAGAGGATATTCTTTTCACATTTCAGCTGCCTAGAAGAAGGCAAAAGAAGTGAATCACTTTCACATATCTGACTACATCCAGACAGGTATAATATAATCAGAACCTAGGAGAAGTAGCCAAGAATCAAAATTCAAAACATCTATTTAACTGCAAGTACTTAGAAACAAAGGGCAGGTGAAAGGATAGGGCACCAAAAATTCTTCATTGGACAAGAATGTGGTCTCCATGTAGACGTGGAAAGGGATTTCTGAATGAAGAGAAGAATTACCTTCCTTGAGTGTCTCTGGGCTGAGTACAGTGAAGTCAATCCTGGGGAAAAGCTTCCTAGGCATCCCTGTGTGAGCAGGGTGCCCCCAGGATCTCCAAAATGAATTTTTGCTTTTACACCCTTGAGCTCTCCAAGTGTATGGTCTTGCTGATTCCTGAGATGCTCTGAAGTCATCTTTCCTATTGTTTCTGTGCAAAATAATTTAACTTCTCTTTAGTGGTTGTAAATTCTTCAATAACCACACTGTGCTTGGCCCTACTTTTACATGAGCTTCTATTGTCAAACTGCAAATTTTCCAATTCTTTCTTCTCTTTCTGTTCCTAATTCTCACAGTTAACCTGTCTAAAAGCTGCCAGCAATACCCATGCCACCTTTGGAATACTGTGCTGTCTTGAATTTTCTCTGCCAGATTAATTAGTTCCTCACTTTCAAATTCAGCCTCAGGACACAAAGTCTCAGGACATGGGCAAAATGTTGAGAAGTTATTTGCCAGGATCTAACATGAATGGCCCCTAGTGCAATTCCCACTGGAGTCTTCATTCCCATTTGAAACCTCATGAGTGCATTCTTTACTGTCTGTGTTCCTCTTGGCATTCTGGTCTTTTGAGCTATCACCAAAATTGCCCATTAAACTCTGCTTATTATATTCTAAGTCTTCTCCAGCCTGCATCTCCAAACTTTTCCAAACTCCTCTCAGAAACCAGTTTCAAAGGCTTCTGAACCACACAGGTTAGTCACAGCAATGACTCCACTTTTTGAAACCAATTTCTATGTTAGTTTTCTGTCACTGTAACCAAAATACCTGACAAGAACAACGTAGAGGAGGAACTTTACTTTGGGCTCATTGTTTAAGAGGTTTCTGTCCATCATTAGCTGCCTCTATCACTCTGGAACTGAGGTAAGGCAGAAGATCATGGTGTAAGGGTATGGCACAGGAAAGCTGCTCAGCTTATGGTAGGCAGGAAGGAGAGAGAGATGGAAAGGCTATCCAGGAACAAAATAAAAACCCCAAGTCACATTCTCATGTCAAACTTCCATCAGCCATGCCTCATTTGTCAACAGTTACCACTCAGTGATCAAATTATTAATCCATCAAGTTAAATCCACTAAGTAGTCACAGCTCTCGTAATCCAGTCATTTCATCTCTGAACATTCCTGCATCTTCTCACACATGAACCTTCAGGGAACACCTCATATCCAAACCATAGACTGGAACTGAAGCCAGGGGTGCTCTAACACTATGCTATATCCCAGCCATTTTAATTTTTCTTATGAGACAGGGTCTGCTATGTTGCTCATGATGGCCTCTAACTTTCCATCCTTCTGCCTCAGCCTCCCAAGTCACAGGGCCTACAAGCCTGTGTCACCTTCTACTTCTTTCAGGTTCTAGATGTCTCAGGGAACATGGTGATGTGAGGCAAAATAGATAAGCCAAATATGGCTATGGATGAAACTTTATACATAGTGTAGATTTTCAAAGAGAAAATTCTAAAATTAATCCCACGAAGAGCATTTCTCATAATGTATACTTCAAATATCTAAAAAGCATTGCATACAAATCAGTATAAGAAAATACCTCTTTTTTTGTATTTTATTTAGAGAGAGAGTCTCAATGAATTGCTTAGCACCTGGCCATTGCTGAGGTTGGCTTT